GACTTCTCTCTCTCTCTCTCTCTCTCTCTCTCTCTCTCTCTCTCTATCTCACAATTTAGCACTAATGAATAAATGAATAATAGTATCTTTCGCACGCGGTCACATCCAGGAAATATATTTTACAACAAACAGAATGATTAATTCACCACGCTGAAATGCCGTTAAGAGAAGTCTTGTATTCATATAGTCTTCGTATTTATTCTCTTCCGCAATTGCGGACGGTTCTTCTTACATTTCGCCATTTCGAAAGGATTTAACGGGATCATATCTCTTTTAGTGGGATTTGCATCGTTATCGCGTTATGCCGTGTTAAATAGCGATTTTCGATACAGGAGAAAGAAAGACACTTTTCTCCTTCTTACCTTCTTCTCTCGGTAAAAGTAATTATTTAATTCGCTGTCATCAAGTTGAATCGTCCTCTATTAGCTGAGACGTGCGGTTAGATTCGCGCGGATGAAAAAGAAGAAGAGCCTTCCTTCTTATCGAGCGATTTCCGCGGTTTTTATTCTCTCGACGGTTTTTCTCGAGAGCCGGGGCACACGGTTTGAGATCCTCTCGTGCAGCTCTCGGCGAAGTTTCGAGCTCTGTGCGCCGCTCTTTTCGAGTACGTTTGTCGATGTTATCCATGCGGAAAGGCCGCTGAAAGTGAAGCGGCGGCGCTTTAAGACGCATACACGACTCTCGATGGAGACACAGTGAATATTAATACTCGCCCGTAGCCTTTCGGTCGACAGATCTTATCAGCTCATTTCGCCTTTCTACTCCTGCCGTCCTTTTCACCGCCGCTTAAAGTCGACTGCTCATTTGCGCGTCCCGAGGGTCTTCTTTCTCATCTTCTTCTTCTTCATCGTTGTTGGCCCCGTTCGGTCCAGCTGCGAAGGAAGTTTATCCTTACTTGGCTCGATTTGCTTACCTCTGTTTCTTATTCTTTCTCTCCTGATTTCTGCAATCTTCAGTGATTCATCGCGCGATGCATGGTAGAATAAGTAATTGTGGAAATTCGGTTTTTTTTCTTGCCTTCTAAGAATAAAATGATCTAATACGGTTGACAAAGTGAGTCACAATATTTTACACATAAATATATCGAAAGAATTTTATTTGAAAAATAATATGCTAATGATGAGTGTTTTGTTGAAATAAAATAATAGTAATTTGCATTTATATTTTTTTATTATTTTATTTAACAATATATCATTTTGTCAACAATGTTTAACAAAAAAATTTGACAAAACGTGCATTATTTTTTATCGTGATATTTTATCGTGAAAAAAAAATATGACTATGATGCACAATTTACATAATAAAGATAAATAAAGTAGTTTTCAAAGACTTCAAAAAAAAGAAAGGAAAAAATAGGCGCACTGATGGGGGTGAAATCTTCATCGGAAGACTGACGGGGCGTCTGTCGACAGACAGTGGCAGTCTCCTTTCACGGAACGGGTAGGCATTCTTGTCGTCGAATCAGAGTGCAATTAATCATCCTCGCAGAAACGCGGGCGGTGTTGGTCGAAGTTTTTCGATATCCTGAAAGCTTCTTCCTCCGAGTTGAATTTCCGCGGAAAAGTTTTTGCACGGGGGTTGCTCTGCCTTTCCCTTGCTCCCCGCGAGCTTCCACGGCAGCCTTTCACGGCAGCGAGTCGTTCGCAGATTTCTTCTTTTGGTCAAGTTAACGGGTGAAAAGTCGCTTTTAATAGAGATGGTAATTATGAGGGTATTCTGATAAAATATTTATGCCGATATTGCGAACACGCGATAACGGCAACCAGATACTTTGGATCAACTTTGCTAGGTACTTAGTCAGAGAGCAGCTTAATGAGATGTTATATCTATACGATGCGAAATTGATTTAAGCTATCAAAATTGCTATGTTAAAGATACCTTTATCAATATTCTATCATTCACATCATAAAATGTTTCTTTAAATAAATAACCGCAAATAAATTTATATCGATTGCAATGTAAAATAACATTAATAATCGGGGGGAGGGGGGAGAGGGAGGATCACATAAAGAAAAGCAATTTATTATAGCAATATTGGCATATTAGAAAAGAATTGCAATTTTTAGGAAGCACTTTTTTGAGATTATTATATTGTTTTTTGTACTTTTATGAATATTTGTATTCTGTACCAAAAATGTATTGCATAAAATGGCACTTGTTATATATCTTATAGATAAAAGAATAGCGGCTTTCGATCGGGCTATTAAAATTCGTTTGCAAAAAGAACGAATCGTATTGAGGCAAATGTTATTAAAGCAGTACGTGATACAACTCGTTAAGCAAACGACCCTCTAACGCCAAATAAATTAAACGTCGTTGCGTTTGCGTTGTAGCGCACCGTTAAAACGACCCGTACCATTGTACGTAAATCAAGTAATAAAAGCGTCACGACAATAGGATTAGCAGCAAATTATAAATGTGCCGGCGATTTCTAGTAGGACTATAATACGCTGCCCCGTGGTCCTTGAAGTTACACGTCCGATAATGGCATCACGTGCGCTCACGCGACGCGTTCGCCGGCTCACTTGCGTGCCGTTCAAAATCCGATGACGATCCTGTTTCATCCCTGTCCATCGTAATAACCGGTTTTTTCTTTTTGATTTTAGGTAAGTCTCTTCAAAAATGCGACGAGCCTCGTGCTGCTCCGCACCGAGACGAGCCGACGAACTACGCCCAGTTACAGCTGCCGCCGGCCGGACGGGATCTCTCCGACAAGACGGTAAAGTACGCGATTCCCCGCCTGTGATATACGTAGGAAAAAAAAAAAAAAAGAAAGATCCGTATATATTCGCGAGCAGAAGCGCAAGCTATGCAGCCTGAACTCCTAAAATGGTTTCCGGCCGTTTAAAGTTTAAACACTTCGTAAGTCTTTTCCGCTCCTCTGTCCCCTCTTCATAATTCATGGGACGCTTCAAAACTCGCAACGTACGGCGCAAGCTAGCTGCGCGTCCCGGTGGTAGTTTTTGTCGCGGAATGTTCTGTTTCTTTCACTTTTCTCCCTACGTAATGCGAGCCGAGCAGCTCCGTGAACGCCGTTAAATCTTCCTAGATATTTACCGAAATTTCCTCGGTAGCTTTACGTCTTCCTGAAACATCCTATCCTATGTTTGTTATACTGGATCCCTCGGTGACAGGTGCGATAAATCGTTACGTCTACCTTGTTTTTAGTAAAGTTTTAACTCGCTAAAATGGTAAATTTTTTTCCTACAAAAAATTTTGTACAGTTTGAGTATAATATTAATTTATCGTACAAATAATTGCGTGCAAATAATTTCTCGCAAGATTTAATTAAAAAATTTACTAGATATATCAATGATCATGAGAAACATTTACAATTCGCTGTTAAAAATTATTGTACGAGACATAAGTCAATGTACCATGTGCTATTTCGGCAAGAAATATTTCTCGTTCTGCCATTTGTTCAAGAGGACGCGACGGCTTTTCTTGTGGCATTTCTCGCTGTGCCCAGCGACTCGCGAGCGCAGCGATTAACTAAAACGAAATACTTTAAGCCATCCCCGTGCTTGGTACCGGCCGATCGCGATAAATTACCGATTGGTTTTTGCGGAGAAATTGCTACGTCCAAGTACCTTGATTCATTGAGACCGACGCTGAATGGCGATAAATTCGCAATTTTTTTGCATCTTTACAAGAGCGACTCTTGAAACAATGAGTGGCGTTGTATCGCAGTAAACACGCCCGAAATTCGTTGTATGATAAAAGTAAATTTTTCTCTTAATAAAAACCTCATTTATTTTGGTATCGCATGTTTCACGGATTATGAAATTATGTCCATTCTTTAGATATTACGTAAGTGAAATAAGCGGACTCTTTTCATTGCTGTGCAAATAAGCAAATAATTAAATGAAGAAAATAAATTATCCTATGTTATGAAAAGAATATATATTAGATTTATTCCGAAGAAAATATTTCGAAGAGAAACAGAAGGTAAAAAGTATAATTGAGCTCAATATGAAACGAATTTTCTTTATTGTTACAAGAGAATGGTTTTATTGTACAGTAATGTAATACTTTTTAATGCAAAGAAAATATAAATGAAATCTCATTTTCCTTGATGACAATGATTCTAAAATAGCTGTAAAAACAAAAGAAAGCAAAAGGTAACAAAATCAACATTACAAGCATTATTTGCACAAATACTTTCACATCTGCTACTCGAGTTACATATTATAAACTGATATTCATACAAGCACAAATATCAAATTGCCATTTATCAGAACAAAATAGATTTTGTTCCGAAACAGCACAGAATTCTGAATCAACGTATATATTTGGATAATGATTTCTACTTTTAATTAAACAAAATCATATCAATTTCGAATGTTTCTTTTTCTGAACAAGCTTCCGCTAATCTTCTAATAATCTTTACATTTATAGAGAAATGTTTCGGGAGTTAATTTCTCACGTTTGCTCAAATGCGATAGCGTAACACCGTTCAGTTCCATAAGGCACTATAAAGCAGCATTCTGTACCGAGCTCGTAAAACTTTTAATCCGGCAAAACTCAGTCCGAGCCGAATTCGTCGCGCGATTTCAGCGGGGCGGAGGGGGAGGGGGAAGGGGGGGAGATAAGGGAAAAGCGGAGAATCCATTCTCGGTGGAAATCATTAATCACCGGTCGTCGTTCGAAAGTTCGTGCAACTGCGCGAGCAGGTGCACGGGCCGTCGCAGGTGCGCCTTGCACTCGCGACGCACCGGATTTCTTCCCGTCCGGGACAGTAGCGAGTGCATTAATCGTACCCGCGCCCGTCACTCTGCCCTCATAATCTACTGGAAACCGGCGTGTCGCCGTGGGTAGGAGTTTCCCCCCCCCCTCCCTCACGACGAGGAACCAAGTTTAAAGCTCGATATTAATAGCGGATTACGTGCAGGTACTCAATTTCCGGCCGGACACCCGCGTCGCATCCGAAAAGTTTCGGGAACACGAACCGAATATTAATGAACACGAATGCCGCCGTTGCGCTTCTTAGCCGACCGATAGTCTCACCTTTCCTAATACGATGTAATTCAATTATCTCTCGATTTATAGCTCGATTTAAGATTCTTACGAATCCAAAGTGCGCGCTACGTGCAAAGTGAATTGCCAAATGCGAATTTTAGAAAATGATAAATATAAACGATAAACAAATATAAAAATTGATCTGATATTTGAAATGATTTGTTAAAATTAATTTTATTATTAAATCGTGATTATTCATTATGCGTTTCTATATTTTTTGTCGCAATTGTGGGATTGAAAATTTGAATATAAATTTTTCGTTGTTATTTGTGCAATTTTTTTATTTGTAATTTAATATTATATTTATTATAAATTCTGATTGTGAAGTTTTATTTTTTTAATTTTAGGAAATTTTAACTTGTGTGTATTTTCTGTGCAGAAAATGGCTAAATGAATTTTTGCGTAAAAGCACCTTGTATGTTAGTAATAATCCTGGTAATGACACGTGTTATTATCACGCAGATTTAAATGTATTATATTTTATTGAAAATAACATAGCTTATTAAATTATTAATTGGTGGATCTTTTCATTTTATTTCCGTTTTTCATTCTACATATTAATATTTAATTTATTTTGTACTTTTTCATTTATTAATATTCACACTTTGAATATAACTCTGTATAGCAATATACGCATTAACGAAAACATATTGTTACATTTTTATATATTTAAAAAATTTATGTTAATGTTCGAGAATTCGATATAACCAAATAAAATAAAATTAAATATATGTTACACCATCCGCTAGAGATACATAGAGGCATATGTAAAAAAAAAAAAACAAAGAAAATTGTTCATTATTCTCGATGTTGTTCACAATTGTTGCATCGCACGTACCAACACTATTCAATCGACGAAACAATCGTTCAAATCGATTGTTTCACGCCAAAGCGTACACGCGATCAAACGAGTCCGATTGACAGCAGACAGAAATTGTTTGACGAACGGTCGATTACGTCTGAATCGCTGTGGTACGTGTGGTATGTTGACGCACTCATGCGTGTTGACCATCATTAATGCGTTCGACAGGCGATGTACACAGTTAAATGATCTCTCTCTCTCGGTGTCTGCTCTCGTTTTTCTTAACGCATCACGCCGCTGTTGTTCAATTCTATTCGGATCCAAAGTGTGAAAATCGAAAATTTGACATTTCCTTTAGAGCAGACACCGTCTTGTCTTCGTTACAATTCTGTTGGATTCTATTTGGTTAGCCAAGCGAGATCGACAAGTTGCGCGGCAAGTCGGGGGTCGTGCAACGAAGCGCTTAAATCTCAGCCCGCGCCGAATATTGGCATTTTCGTCGAGGATTCAAATCGCCGAATCGTCAATCGCGTCATACATGCTGGTGCGGAAGTTAGCGTCCGATTACCGCCATGTATTACCGCTCGGATAACTCCTGACCTAATAATACGACCTTCGTGCATTCCAAACGCATCGCTCTTACGACTTATGCGAATTACATTTGTAAATGACCGAAGCGAACACGCGATTATCGTCGTGTGTCGATACGCCTCGAAATCTCCATACACGTCTGTCCTGGCCCGTCCTGGTCGTATGTATGTAATGACCAAAAGGTTTCCGGTTGATTTGACTTAATGACGCGAGGATCGCGCAGCAGCAAGGTCTGGACAATAATCGACGTTGCTCTGCAACGTTGTAAAAATTTTTTCTATAAGATAAATATTTTCTAATTTAATGTTAAAAGTTTCTAAATTTTCCAATCGGAAAACGCGAAAAAAAAGCTGAGAAATTTAATAGAAAATAACGTTGCGTTTAAATTTCACAAATTGTTATAATACCGATAGCACTTCGTCATGTTTCAATTTCAAAAGAAAACGACGGTCAAATCATTAGCAGATATCATTAGCGGATATCGTTATCCATTACCTTTCTTGTTTCTGAACGCGTTTCTGTTGGCTGACGATCGTGATTGCGCACTACTATTCCTACATCGTCGTCCTTTGAATTGTTCGTGGCGATATGCGTTTGGATGACTCGGGCGTTAGCAGTCTATAGCGTTTAGATTTTATGTTACGGCATCGTTACGGGGATTATAATGGTGTCGACTGCGTTTCCCCGCGTAGTCAACGTGAGTTGGCGCGATCGCGGAGTAATGAAGTACCATATTATGCCGCTAGACTGAACTTCAGCCCGTCATCCCGTAACCTCGTTTCTAATAAGCGGCGAGTATTTATCAAATTAACGTCACAGGTAACTTCGATAACTGATTCAATACAAAGCGCGATATTGCTACGACAATGAGCTATTATACAATGCGAGTATAATACTCACAAACTTAAGCAGTGCAAGTAATCATTTTGCCAGTAACATTAATGTTGCTTATAATAGAATTTATCACGAATTAACTCTATGACAAATAATATTGCTAAAAAAAATTAGAAATTTTTCAATTTTGGTACCTTCTAAGAATATTTTAAGATTGTTTAAATATTAATTAATCGATAGTATTATGAATGCTACATTGGCCCTCTGTAAATGAAGAATCGAAACAAGAAGTTCGACAGAAATATTACGATGTACAATCGAAAAGAAAATAATTGTAATATGTTTTAAATATAAGTTTTAATGAAAAGATGTGCTCATGAAAGGTGTACATTTATATAAATTTTCCGTCTAGTATTTTAGTTTGCTTAAAAAGTCTGAAATATAGTATATATATATATATATATATCACGTCC